TAGATAGATAGATAGATAGATAGATAGATAGATAGATAGATAGATAGATAGATAGATAGATAGATAGATAGATAAAGCAGAATGCATATTTCTCTCGCTGTGCAGCCTCCACACTAGAGATCACTTCCCCAAAGTATCTGGCAGGGAGGGAAAGGAGAGGCGGAGGTGTGTGACTCTGAGCCAGGAGGAGAAGGGGGGAAGGAAGCGGGGGCCCCAAAATATAAAATTCAATTTAGAAATTATTTTCATTTGACATAATGCAACTCTACCAAACCATGAAATTTTCAGTTTCTGATATTCCTTTATCCTTCCACTTATCTCTGTTTTTAATCTATCCAGCTTCTTCTCTCCCCCCTTTCCCCCTCTCCCTCTCCCCCTGGAAGGAACAGGAATGGCCGGAGAGTTTCTCTCACCTTGTCCTGGACTGAGGCGCCTGCACCGACCGTGGGCCAGCAGCAGGTCCACCAGGCGCGCGTGCCTGTACTCAGTGGCCCAGAAGAGGGGTGTCCTGCAGCCCCTGGCATCCTGGAAAGCAAGGAGATGAGCCCGTGGGGGGTGGGGGTGAAGGCCTGTTGGCGCAGTTGCCCCCCAGCCAGCGCTTTCCAGCAACCTCAACAGCGGGCATGGCCCACACCTGTAGAACTGGGAGCGGGGAGGTGGACGGCTGGCTGGACCTCAGCCGGGGCTTGGCCACACAGCCCTACCTGGCCCTGGAGGGCCTCGGTCCCCTGCATGAGGAGCTGGAGGGCTTGGTTGTAGTTGCCCTGCTTGGTGGCGCCACGCAAAGGGCTGCCTTGGGCTGCCTCCTTCTGCCTGTCTTTGTCCTGCAGCCCAAAGCAATACACCTCCAAACTTCTCCCTTAGCCCTTCCCTCCCTCCCTCCCTCCCTCCCAAGCAACAGAAGCAGGTGGGGGGGGCAGCTCCACACACACACACACACACACACACGTGTTTGTGAACACTCCTCCCCCTCGCCCCTGAGCAAGTGAGGAGAGCACTCAGTCCCAGCTGGCCACGTGT